TTTGATTATTCGAGTGCGAGGAGCCGTTGATGATGGATGCGGGTGGGCGAGGCTTATCTGATACGATACGTGACAGCGACAAGTGGTGGAAGAAGTACAAGTGGTGGAAGGAGGAGATTTAATGCGACAAAGAAGTTGACGGTTGCTGAACCCCTGCCAAATGATGGTAGCGCGAAGCAGTGTACTCCGTACAGTACCAGGCGCAGATCCCTCGAGGTGGGACACAGGACAGCAGCAGGGAAGACTGATCGGAATGTTCCTGTGCGGAGAGGCAACAAGAGGAGAGTTGGAGGGTAGGAAGCAATAGTAGTGCCAGTGTATCCAAGAAAGCGGCTCTTTTCTACTTTCTAAGTGGTCAGTGGCAACGGCCTTTCTCTCAGCATACCCACACAGATACAGCATGTGCTGGCGATATAGACAGGGTCTGGCCTACCTATGGCAAAGCAAGCTACACCCGTCCCTCACAGTTGAGGAGCACAGTGGTACGTCGACAGCGCCGTGGCAGAAATGGACAACTCGAGGTCTACGAGTAGCGCGGAGCGGGCGCACGAATCGTTGCGCGTATACTTGTCCGAGTTTGCTACAACCACCAAAACGCAACCTAAGCCTCCTTTATCTTGAAATTGCTGAGTATGAAATCAAAAGTCGAGTGTCGAGTAAGGTTGGCTTTGCTGCGAAGAGTACGAGATGGGAATGAGGGTAGGAGGCTTCGGGAGAGTATCCGAGATGATATGCCGTTGAACCTGATGTGGTAGATAGATGGTTGATAAAAATGCAACTAGGAGGTAAAGCAGTGATCTTGATATAAAGTCGGGCAGGCCAACTAGGTCTCAATGGCCCTGGAAGCTGTTGTCAGGATCAGGGAAAGACGGGTGGAGTAGGAGAGGGTACCGTACCTCAGGGGTCGCATGAAGGGGCGTGTACAAGATGGAGACGTTTGGGGATGGGGAGGAGGCGTCCAACGTCGAGTACTGGAACTGGGTGTATGGGATTAGGACTGGGAATACTGTGAAAAGAAAACGGTCAGCCAAGCTGTGAGCACTGAGCCAAAAAGAAGCTTGGGGATGGCGGGGGGTGTGCCGAGGAACAACACGTCTCCGTCTCCCCAACCTGCCTCGCCATGAACCCTGTCCCAAGAGCTGGTTCACTTGGCCAATGCTTGCCTGTTTCTTCTCTGGCAGGACTGTCTGGACGGACACAGCAGAATGAAGGAGCATTGGAAGTGGGAGTGGGAGTGGGAGTGGAAGATGAAAGGGGGGTGTGGCAGCTTAAGGTGGGATACCCAAGTAGGATGCACGGTGTGTCGTACCAATGAATCCCCTTTTCCTTCTCTTTGAGAGGGGCTCTCAGATTATCGGGGATTTCAACCGCGATTTGGAGACGATGACGATACACAGAGACACCCCAAGCCCATGTCTAGGTGCCGGACGTTCTAACCCAGGAACGAACAGTTCGATCTGAATGCAACGGCGTTCGCCTTCAAACTTCAAAAAGGGCGGGCAAGGGCGTAGCTCGGAAGATAGGGCCAAATGGTAAGTGGGCGTCCGGCTCTGTTGTCTTGGTCGACTGTGGATTGCTAGAGCAGGTACTTCCTACACTTATCAGGATGCTTAGAAGAACTGGATGCCAGATGCTGGACGGGACTCTTGGGGTGACATAGACTAGGCCCAGGCCTTGGGAGCCTTCCGATGGGGACAGAAAGATTGAGGAGAGACCGATGAAGAATCCCTGTGTCGCTCTGGTCTGTGCCGCGAGGTTCGAGTCTCTTGGCGGAGGCGTCCCTGGCCGTCCCGGGTCTGGTCAGTCGACAACCTTCGGCAAGAAGCGACCTGTCAAGCGGCGGTTTGGGGGCGGTCAAGGGAAGCCAAGTTGACTTGGGCTGGACTCGGCTGAGTTGACCCTCGTGCGGAAGTCGTTTGGCAGTGGGCGTGTCGTGCCGAGTAACGGATATTGCGAGCGCTCTTGCTACGGGAGGATGATCAATCAATCTCAAGATGGGTTTGGTGATGCCGTTGAGCTTGGGTACTCCGATGTATCAAATGTGGATGCAAGGCGGAAAGTAATCCGAACATAGGGTACGGAGTATGCGTTTTTGCTGCCCAGATGAGTCTTGGTGCCGTCTTGTTGTTGATGAGCAATTGATGACTTGAAGATGAACAACGACGTGATGAAGAACGTGGCTGGGCCCTGAGACGAACGCGCAGATGAAAGAGAGGTCCGGTCGGACTTAGAAGCAATTTCTGACGGGTCCTGGCTTGCTCTGTGCGTTCGTGCGGCGAGAAGAAAAAGACGATGATGGACTAAGTCAGACACGGCACGGGTCCCGGAGATGGTCGGGAGGGAACTTTTGACGGGAGCATTCGCAGAGGGCCTCACCACATCAGTCGGGATGTCCAAGTGGATCTCATGTAAGGTTAATGCTGGCCAAAGTGAGGGCCTTGTGAACGATGAAGTGTCAGGCCAGGGAACTCTGAGGGGGAAAGATGCAGAAGAGGAGAAATGAGGTGAACGGAACAGATCTGATATTCACCAGTGGAGAGGAAAAGAAGGAAGTGAGGTTGCAGGGCGCGAGGCGCGAGAGTCAACGTCAAAGTGACTTGGTACCTTCCCTTTCCTTATATTAGGTAACCAAGAATAGTGTACCTCGTAGAGTCTTGGATAAATAGCCAAGGGAAGGAGTTGTCGATTGACACGGAGGAAGAAGGAGGTGGACGGGAGAAGGTGAAAGGCGTTCACCTGGCTGAATTGTTCACCTGGGACCTGGTCTCCCGTTCCTACCCTACCTACCTTACCGTGCCTCCCCATGTCCATTCCACTCAGTCTCTGTAACCGTTCCATGTCGGTATTGGCCATAACCCATGCATATCAAAAAGATGGGGAAAGAGACACTGGCAGGCAATACCCAGATGCATCCACACACCCATTGGAACTATGGAGCAATGGAGCGTGCAGGTTGTGGAATGGCAGGCACGTCTGGATAGACGACCTATTACACTGGGTACGTATCCGTATACCTACCACAGTAGAGGCAAAGACCGTAAGGTTGAGAGGGAAGGGGCGTTCAGATGGACCGCGGCGCGAAGGCCGGTTGCTTGCTGCGCACACAATAAAGTAGGCAGGAAGGATATCCCTTGGAGGTAAGTGCTGAATGAGACGGGAGATGCGTGGACTACCTGAGTTAAAGGTACCTTGTCAGGCTAAAGTGACTTCCGTCTTTACGAGAAAGCACGGATGGCGGAAGTAGGCGATACTTGGCCCGTCCTCGAGACGGGTGCGGGTGTGTCGTCTGCGATGTCTCGATGTACGCCACAAGTAGACAGGTACCGCACCATGGTACTGTCCGTACGGAGTACCTTAGGCGCAACTTGGTAAGGCAGGGCAGGGCAGGGCTGGGCTGGGAAAAAGAAGGCAGGTACTTCCTTCCTCGAGTCCAGTCGAGGATGGAACGGGAAACAGAGCAACAGACCACATTGGGAAAGATGGTCCTGCAACCTGCCCTCCTTCTTCTGCCTCTCTCCACACCTCAAGGCCTACCTACTGCGTGGAGTCTGGACAGAGGCGCAGACGTTGGCCTTGCCTTAAGGTGTCTCTGCTTCATGTGCTCCATGTGCCCGAGAAAGTACCGACACACGTGTTGGACCGTGTTGAGGTACACCACCATGCGTCGAATGTCTTGTCTCTGCCTCAGGTAACGTAGGTAAGGTAGCCTGATCTGGAGCTAAGCTGAGCTAAGGCAGGTGAAGGTGGGTGAAGCAACGCCAGCTGCGTTGGTAAGGGTAGGAGCAAGACTGAACAGGGCAAGCTGCGAGGTGCTGCATCTGTACCTTGGGTTGGCTCACCTAGGTAAGGTAAGGTAGGCAGGTACATAGGTACCTTATCTTAGCTAATGGAAGTCAACAAGAGGTGCAGGTGAGGTGGTCTGAGTGATTAGGTCAGTGACTCGAGACTTTTCACCCTGACTTTACTGTGCACGAAGTAGGTGAATGGGAGTAAGTCAGTGAGTGAGTGGATGTCGGGAAAAAAGGCAACAAAAAAAGGCAGGGAAGGATCAATCGGGTGGTAGGGCCTGCATACGGAAATCGTCTCTGCTCTACCGTACTCCGTAGTCTCTGCGTTGTTGCTTCGCGGCTTCGCCTTGCACTCGATGGGAGGATCCCTGCTCTGTCCGGTTATTTTCTGCCCTGTACAAAGTGCAAAACGCAGTGAATAAGAGACGGCGGGATCCGACCACAAAAAAAAAACAGACTGTGCCACCATGGATTGTATCTCAGATGAATCAGCCCTGGCATAAGGTCCCCTAGGGGTTTACATCCAGCTATTACGTGAACGCCAGAGATGGGCCGATTGAGATTCAATCGGGACAATCTCTTGTCTTTTCTCTCTCTTCCTTTTCTCAACACCTTGATTTTCCCGCGGCATAAATGAATATCGCAGCAACGCGTAGGCACATCATTGCCATTTCTTGACCATCGATACTGCAAGTCACTGTGCTTTGGCCATTTCTGCGGAGAGAAGAACATCATCCACGACCGGGTCCTTTTCTCCTCCCCTTGTTCGCCCCTGGTCAACCCCCACCGCCCATCATCTTCATCTCTCCCATGCCTAAACTTCTTTCCTCACAGTTCACTTTTTGTGTCTCCTCTCCGACTTCCCACTTCCACTGCCTCCGTGCTTTCCACTTTCCCCCTTGTCCCCTGACGGGCAGAGAAGACAGCTTGACAACATCCTTGACACGAACATCCCTGATCCCTGCTCCTCTTGATCTTGCCCCTGGGGCCTTGGGTGCCGTGCCCGGACCGGAAGTCTACGGCTCCACCCTGCTGTCTGTGCGCGGCGAAAAGAAGAAGTCGTAGCAGGCATCAAGGCATGAATGGAAGCTTCTGAGACAATGCTTGGACAAACGTTGGCTTGACGGGTAAAACGTCCTTCCAAGACAAGACAAGATTGACGGTTATTTTTTTCTTCTCGTGTTTATTTTTCCTTTCTTTGCACTATCTAAGCTATCCGTGTTGATGAAGCACATGCTTGATCCGAATCTTCAATTGCGCCCTGCCTCGGCCAACTCCGAGCTGCTCCACACGGGGCGGACTGGGCCACACGGGGAAAACGGGGGATTCGTCGAGGACCGTGAGTTCTTCAAAGTTCTTTGTCAGGACGAGAACCTCAGCTGACAAGAATGACAGGACAGACTGATGCTCCATAAAGATTCGGATATCTGAGATAGATAGCGCCATCTCACACCAACTTGAGTGCTCAATGGTCACATACACATTCAGGCTGTGGTACTGTCGTCCTCCACGCCATTTATCCTTGACACTCTGATGCCACCTCGGAGACTCGGGTAGGCATTCATACCTTAGCATACTGCGATATCCGCAATAATAGTCAGTTTCAATGCTGATGTTGGCAGGACCAGCATCCAAGCGGCACGTCGAGGGTCCTGAAGCTCCGGAGAGTGGCTCATTTGACAGCTGTCAATGATCCCAGCCTTGCCTGGGCTTGGTAGAACCTTGCCCTACCTCACCATACCTTACAGTGACAAGGTGCCTTACGTATCCATCATCGTGCGGCCTAACTGACGAGGAACGGATCAAACAACCTTAGCTACGACCTGACAGATTTACTTTCTTCTTGGTATTGATGCTTTTCACTACCTTGATCAAGGCAGGAGAGGTGAATTCAAGGCAGAGATGGGGACGATGCCCGCTCACGACGTGACTCCAGGTTCGAAGTGTTCCTGCCTTGGCTGGTCATACTGTGCGAAAACCATCAACTTTTAACAAAACACGGTGTTCAAACACTACAAGTGGGCTGGAAATCACGGTGCGCAAAGATAGAGGAAAGATGGTACTCCCCTGCTGGCTCCTTCCTCGCACAGTGACTCAGTGCAGGGCACCTTCCACCACAATGAGGTGTTGACGTGAGGATACGTACCGAAGTACTCAGGTACTTTATTTCGGACCCATTAAATGTGACATATCTCCACTCTTCCTGGTCCTCTGTGTCCATCCCGCTGAGGAAGTGGATGACTCCGCTGTCTGTTTGTGACTTTGCAAAGTCGTTCGTTCCTCCCATTCCCACTTCCATGTATTTGCAGTACGTATCCGTACGTACTATCGCCCTGTTGCTTCTTGTCATTTTGAGTTGATCGTGCGCAACGTTCAAAAGAGGCAGGTACTCATCGCTGGTATTCAAAAGATGCCTCTGCTTTCCATTAAAATAAGGCATGGAAGGTAGGTAGGTACCTTGGACACCTGCCTTGTATGGAGAACGCAGCTACCTCAGTACCTGACGTGAGAAGCTGGACGCAATACGTCCCAGTCCCAAGGTTCTCGTTGGCTCTTTCTCCCGCTTCCGTCTTTGGGTTGTCATTCCTTCCCTTCTGGGCGTCCCTTTCTCCCCGAGTCCCTTCCCATCCCACATCCCCCACCCTCCTCCACCACACACCGGCATGAAGAAATTCGCCGACTACAATGCCACAATCCGATTCACGGCGGGACATGTTCAACATGCACAATTGTTTCGCTTCCGAATCGACTCTATGGATACTCGACATGCTTCTCCTTTTCCAGATCATTTGTCACTGCCAGCATTCACCTCCTGTTCTTGCGACCTGCCTACCCAATTCGACATTGATGAAACAAATAAACCGTCGTCCTCCGCTCCGGTCCACCTCCAAACCCTCGTCCACTCCAACGCCCTGTCAGTCAACGCCCGCCCAACACCATTCACCACAGCGGTCGCTGGGTAGACACAAACACTTCAGATGACTCCGTCACTGTCTGTTATTTCGCATATCACGGCAATGTCCGATGTGTTCTGTTTGGGAGAGGCCTCCGTTGTCATCACCGACGACATATCACCCTCCCTGGGCTTTCGACATGGCAGCGTTTGCGGCTTGCCCTGCATCACTCTGGCCTCGCATTGGGCTGGAGTACGCTCATCCGATCCAATAAGCCGCCTCACGATAAATATCGCTGCCAGCTAAAACGGGAACCCCCCCCCCCCCTATGGGCCACGACGGCTATAGTCAATGATGGACGACACGATTGCCTCTAAGACCAGCCTCCTTGCTCTTGACGTTGTGTGTTGACCGGCGAGCAAGCTCTTCGGCGGGGCGTCATGGGACGCGAAGGAGAATTTCCCAGTCTGTCAGCAATCACTCGCACTCAGCCCAGCAAACACCCCTTCAAACGAGCGCCGGAAGGCTATGCAATATCAGATTACTCCTGGTATTCTGCCCACTCTGCCCCTGCCAATCGCCGACACCACCTATTTCCCCTCTGCACCATAATGACTAGGTCGCGCCGCACCAAAGTCCGAGGAGGAGGCACTGCACTGTCTCGACCGGCATGCCACTGGCCATACGACAAGGCTGCGAATTCTAAGAGTCTCTTGCATCTGGACTACTGTTTCGCCTCGGCCTGTCATTTATCCCTGGGTCTTCTAGAAGAAGAACTCACAACTCTATTCCATACCGATGCCCCCTGCACAACCTCCTCCGCCAGAGGCGGGATGGCATCATCCCCCAGATTTCCATTTCGCACCTGCTTATGCAACGCCTTTTTGACAACCTTCGTCGGCAATCTTTCTGGAATATCGTGAAACGCCCCTGCAGCGATTTACGGCTTCCAAGAAAAGAGCCCTCGAAATAGGTTCCATGTCCGGCAGGCAAGGGATCAGGGGACTACAGATGAGGAACTATCAGCCGGGTTTCGCTCCGCTGATCAGTTTCTCCAGAAATGTCTTCACGCTGGAATGCTCGCAGAGATTATTCCCTAATCAGGAGGAAAGCCATCCTCTAATCCAACCTGAACGATAACAGACGAGATAGAACAGAAGTCATGAATAGGCCAGGCACCATCTCAATTCGACTCGAGATCCTCATTGATTCACCACCACCAGATTAAAGTGAGACCCATGTGGCCGCTTTGGCTCCCTGTCTATTCTGTCCTTGGGCCAAATTTGACGTGTTGTCCAAGCGGCGTCCTCTTCAGCACGCCCCGACAGTGTAGAAGCTGCATACAAATAATGTGTCCAACGTCCGTTATTCTAGCTCGACGGCAGAGTTTCCGCCAACGGCTTCCGCTGGGTCATGCCGTGCACGGCATTGACACGGGAATTGGATACCCGTCAAGGTCGATCAGACCGACGAAAAATAACATGTGTGGCTGAATGGCTAGCCCCCGGGACGGATCGCATCAGCTGTAGAGTTCCAGAGACATTCCTCGGAACCCAGCTTTGTTTACATTGGCGTTCTTGCGAACCCGCCGTTCAAGTCGTGCCTCGTTGCGGATCTTCGACTCAACTCCCGGATTCGATCATCTTTTCGGGGTCAGAGTGAAGTGGATGGCAGCTTGACATGGTTTGGTGCCTTTCACTTGCACTTATGGGACACAACAGTCTTGTTGGATCATGATGGCCCATTCGGGGCTTGGTCACGGTCTGCTCTTGAATTCAATGGCAGTCACGTCACATGGAGTCTTGCGAAGGTCTCCTGCGGCACGGTGCTGATCGGCTCTGTGACCCACCACCTCATTTCATTCCACACCCACCACCCACAACCCGAAAGACTTGCACTCGGCCGAACTGCACTAACGAGTGTCATCTCTTGATAATCTTTTCCTGCAAAGCGGTTCAGGATATCGATCTCGAAACGTCCTTCAATGTAAGAATTCAGTTTTAGCAGTATACTCTTCTCTGATGCCAGATACCTAGCCAGAGATCTCTTGAGACTCAGTATGAGCCTACCCAATTATGTCTAGCGTTGGGCAACTTGATATTCAACCTGCGCACATCACCACTCTACAACTTGCTTGCGGACAAATTGCCGGTTTGGATATGGAGAGATTGGCAATTTCTCACATCTGACCGAGTGTCACGGCAATTATTCTGCTTGCTCAGAGGTTTAATCAAGGCTCATTCGGGGTCTCGGGAGCTGACATGCAAAACAGGCTGTTCAATTGGACCTCTCTCTGGGATCAGACAGCAAATCCGAGTCTGCCGTTGTTTATGTTCGCACACCTGATGCACCCTTTGAAAGATACTCATCAAGAACTTTCGCATGGTGCGCGGCTATTTATGGCACCTGAAAGACTGTCACTGACCAGTCCAATGACGAGAATACCTCGGCTCGGCACGAACAGAACTACCTATAACGTCGATCGAGTCAAGTCTAGCTTTCGTCGGAATCTTGGAGTTCTTAAAGGTCTCAACCTTATTCGGACGACTTTGCGTGACCCAAGATCGTCGCCAACGCAGTGGCGGATGCTCAATGGTAGTAGTGATTGTGCAGCTGTCTGTCGACTCAACGCCTTGCGGGTTGTGGTTCGTTGCGCAGAACAAGGTCGCCCTTGCAAACTCAATCTCGTTTGGACGGTCTTTGAAGACCCATTTCACGAATCGCAAAGTTCCGTTGAAGAAGGGCCAATAGCCCAGGTCGTCAGGAACGTTTGACGCGGCCCACTAGAAACCCTGAGCCTGTCATCCGGTCTGTCAGTGGCGCACCCCCAATGTCACGTCAGTCTGGCCAACCATGCTCGTCGCGCTTCACAAAGAGCCCACGTCGGTTCAAGGCTCCCGACAAATCTTCCGAGCGCGAGAGAAACCCGACAGGCGGTTGGCTGGGGGGAAAAAGAGGATCAATGGCTGGATAGTGGACCACTGCACACTAACAGAGATGGCTGTTAGCCTGTGAAAGTACGGATACGGACACAACCCTCGAAGGCGAAGTGTGTGTCACCTACGACGTTGCAGGCAACATGGGGAAATGAAGACTGGGTCTTTGCGAAATTATATGATGGAACATGTCTGCACAGAAGACGGCCAAGAGCCAGCAATGGGAAGCTGAACCAGGTTGCAATCGAAGTTGGCAGTCAACTCGTCCGTCTGCTGCATCACTATCGGCCGGTCATCGTCGCCAAATAGTCGAATATCCGAAGGCAAGCAACAACGTCGTTCGAGCTACAAGGACCCCAGAGAACCCATGTCGCCTTTGTTCTAACGCGAGCCCCATGTTTCATGCACAATTGGGAATTGCCGCCATGTTTTGGCTATTTTCAGCTCGCCTGATGAATGTTTCGAGTCCCTCCTTCCACAGCGCGACTGCACAAATTATCACGCAAAGACAGGCGCGCCTGTGACTGTTCAATCTTGAGATTAGAAAAGAAGTCAACGCTGGGGGCAGAGAGAAGTTGCAGACAGCCTGGCTTACGCATACAATGGGATCGCTTTGGCCTCGCCATGCCTTGCAACCCGCCGGGGCGCCTGGCGTCATTTGCGAGGGTGAATGCCGACAGCGCGCCAGAACTGTGGATTGGCTGGTTCTACCACGGGCGCAATGCGGAGTGCAGCACTGCAGACGACCAAAGGGGTCATCTCATGCACAACTTAGGCGTCGTCGGGATGATCTTCTTGTGTAGGAACAAACCTCTGCAAGCCATTCATCAAACTCTCTACTGTGTTGGTGGATGCCATGTACCAACAGAATCAAGACGTTGTCAGCTCAGTCTTCTGCGGCCGTCGGTCAGGGCTATCATGGCCTGGAACGGCATTCTCGCACACAATTCCTCTCCAGCTGCGGCCTTTCATGTCTTCTGCGGCCACTGCTGCGGCCGACGGAGAACGCGCGCACCCGCGGTCCCACTGAGTCAATTGGTGTCAAGCTTGCATGTTCGATATTACACTGCAAGTAGGAGCGTGCCCGCCATCCGCCACCCCAATCTCCTGGCCGGCTCTGGCATCCCGCGCCCAGATTGCATGTGCTTTTCTGGCACTTCTTCCGAGCTTCCCACAGCGGAAGCGCACGTCGATACTGACACTGTTGTCGGCCAGAACTTCGCTTCATATCTGAACCTGGATGGGGTCCGGGGCATCGGGCGGGACACGGCTCGCTAGCAGGTGGCCCGGTCGACTAATGCCCTACCATGCCAATCTTTGATGATATCCTTTACCAACGCAGCCCCTTGGAGACCGTTGAAGCACAACCAATATCTACGGATTTCCGAATATCCTGCTCTTCTTGACCCCCCTCCCCGTCTAGATTCCTCGCTTCGAAGCCAGAAAGCCGGGCAAAGCATCCATAGCATCGTATCCAGCCCAGGCTACCCACATGTTTCTAATCCCAAGGCTTAAGCTAAGGTAGGTAATTAGGTAGATCGACTCGGGCGTCCTAACTTGAAGTTTGTTCTCGCCGTTTCTCCACATCGCACACCAGGCGCACCCTCGAATGACTGGAGTCCCGATGCGCGCTGAGTGCTCTTCCCAGACGACCGATCTCCTCATCACCAACCGAGGCGCACTCGGGGTCTCGAGCACCTTGGTGTTTGCCCCTCTTCTGGATCAAATACCGGTGATGGATCGGGAAATTTTAGTTGTTTCGTTTCGTTTGAACTCGGTTGGAAACATATTCTAGACTGATTTGCACAAACCGGACTGTCTCCAAATCACCGCTTGTGGGACCAGACAGCGTACATGCATTATCGTACGGCTTAGTAGGCGAGGCAATCCGTCGAGTCCACAATCGAGGTCACAGTTGCACTTTCACGGCGGTTCATCAAGCCGCCGTTACATCGCGCTTAGAATCGGGTTGCCCAACAGAGAGCACTAAGACGCTAAAAATCTCACGAGCCCCAGACGCAGAGCCCAGAGGCTACGGAGTAGAGGCACAAAGTACAGATACCGCCTCTGCAAATAAATGGAGCACAATCGAGCCATGGCCAATACTGCATCTTCGGGTCCGGTGGAGATTGGACTCTAGGTTTGCAGGTCTACCAAGGCAAGATGCTGGTCCAATATGGTTTTCTCGTGTCATTGGAAATTTCTGAAAAGTGTCATGCAGCCATGATTATTCTGCCAATGACACTGTGCAGAGAGAAACCATGACAGGTTTGATGTTCCGGCTGTACAGAGTCTAACTGCGTCAATGCATAGTTGAGACGACAGCGATCATACATACACGAACAATGGACTAGACATCGGCCCACGACTGATATCGAACGTCTAACAGCCGTTGAGACAAACCATCCACCGATCGGATCGTCCATTGGCCACCATCGTGGGGGAGAAGGGGGGGGGGGGGGGCTACGGCTCCGATCAGTTATCTACTAACGGCTTTTACAATCGGGAAATGTGACGGATCACGGTGACGTGCTTTAGCAATTGCATCGGAACATCCGCGGCCAGATTTTGACGCAAGTCTGTGTGGTATTTTATGTCGCCTTGCCAAGATGTGCCGATGGATAAGTTGGGACGAGATGTGTTTTGAGACTGAGCTTTGAACCCATCGTACTTCCACTCGGCCGCGTTGATCCGCCACCTCACTAGATATGCGGGCAGTTTCGAATGCTGTCTAGATCCTCACTGTCTCCCAGGAAGGACCATGCTGGGCTAGGGCCCAGCCACTAGTGACGGATTTCCACTATCACTTGTGCCTATACACTCCCCGGGGCGTGTTCGGCATAGGAGATTCACTTACCCTCTCTAATTGTGACCTTGGCGGTAGGACCAAAACTTGAGTCTCTCTCTCTTTGCAGAAGATCGCGGAACGTGGCGGTAAAATGACGACGCGGAAGTCAGTCAATGAAACACCCGGAGCACAGATCTCAGAGGAAGAGGCGGCAAAAAGGAAATGGGAAGTGAGGTGGTTGGTGATCAGGAGGTCCAAGGCTGAGGCAGTTATTCTGCCTCTGATCTGAGTGACGATTCTCTGGATGATGGGGGAAATGAGGGGGGACGAAGAAGGAAAGGAGGGGAGGCAGAGAGGGCCCCCGTACCCGTCTGGACTCTTGTCTGATCTGGTCTCTTTGGAAGGTTTGGTCCGTAGTTCCACACTAACGATTCTGTCAAGGCTGAGGCTCTGGTTGTTCCGCATAGTTGCGAGCCTTGGTAAAGCATTTGTTTTGTAGCTATCATTCTGACGAGAAATTGCAGTTTTTGAGTGGGTGGTTGACTGGTTAGGATTCTTTGGTTACCATGGGTCCTGGGAAGCTTAGAGACTGCTTTGGTTGGTTATGCTAACGCGGGATGGTGTAGAGCCGGGAGCGGTGCGCCGGCTGCGTGGATAGTTTGGATGGGCGAGAGAAGGAGCTGAAGTTTGGTTTGGAGGGCGAAATATGTTGGTAGTATAGACTGGATGATGATTGTAGAGGGTAAAATCGAATACATATACTGGATTATTTCCTCGCAATCATTCTCTTTTACTTCTGGTCCATCATGAACTCGTTATCGTAGCGATTTCCAGTATTAAAAACTCCCAAGTATGCTTGGTCTCAACACCATGGATCGATGGAGGCGACAACAAACATCCAACTTGACCCAACACCTGCCATCCCATCAACACATGTGGAGTCAGAGAGGCCTCGATGGGACTATTCTAATGACTCGTAGTCCTTTATTCGAATCGTGCGACAAGCCGGCCGAACGGCTGTCGACAAAGATGCCAAGACCGAATCTATCGAGTTTGAACGAAACCGACGAAACCGAATCGCGCGCCTAGACCACGTCATCATGCGGCGCGCTGGATGCGATGCCGTGTCTAGACTGAGAAGAGATAAGGGAAAGACGAATGATAGAGCTAAGAGAAGAGAATAGGAGAAAGGGAGATTCGGGCTAGGGATGGTGGAAGCCCAAATGAAGGATTCTCGGACGTCAGAAATTCACACTGAACATTGGATATCTGGGAAACTTGGTTGACGACTCCCTTTGTCGAAGACATCAGCTCTCTCACTATCTTTCCAAGGTAGGTAAATCTTGGCTCCGATACCACTGACAGGAAGTATCACCTCGGTGGTCTCCATCGTTGCTGTCGCAGCTCAAGGGTCACGAAACTCCGCAATGACTGGGAACCAGATCTGATCCCTTTCCTCTACTGATCGTCAATCAATTCGGACGCCGAATGAATGTGTATCAAGGTATGTTACTCAGGCCGGCACTACATAGGCGCGTCTCTATGCGTGGTCTATTCTGACTTTGGGTTCTTTCACGATCCTCCTAATACTTCTACAGACTTTGTTTCTATTGATATTGTGTGCGGGGTTTTTGTGTTAGAGTCCTCCCCGCTCTGATTGGTGTTGTGTCGCTGATGATATCTTGTCCCCAGGTTTACTATTCGATCAGATACTGCCCTCTCGACGCGACCACCCGAACGATATCCTTCGACACCTTTGATACACTTGAGATTACTTCGTACATGACGTTTTTAACGCGTTCAGTTGATCAGCTTGGGGCACTTCCCAGAGTTGGGCTGTCCGCTATATGCGATCGCGACGGACCTCTGTCTTACTCTTCTCCTGGGCCGAGCTGCGGGGGAATGCCTTTGCGGACCAAGGGCATGCGTCTGCAAGTGGCAGAGACGCGCACCCGGGACTTGAGACACGAATCCGATCAATATTTGGCCATGAGGCTGGAGTATGGTGGTTGATTTTGGATTTGACGAGTGTCATGGTCCTCGAGTTCCGTCAGCTTGATGGAGTTAGTAAACATTATCTTTTGAACGTAAAATACTCTTAGATCCAAGGCAATTGATTGATCATCGATGGTATCTGACCTTGGATTCCAGGTGCTGTGCTTGGTTCCGTCTGATTTGTGATGGAGAACTACCTGGCATCACCACTCTCAGACTGGCGATGCGAGCAGGAAGGCTTTCCTGACAGACCGAGTGGTTTTTCAGTGTTTTGACTTGTTTTGGATCAACGTCAAAGATGCACTCCCTTTGTCAAACTTCATTCAGAAGTATACGCCCTCTTTGTTTAACTTGCCATACCAAGGTGGTCGTAGGCCAATACATCCGTCGTTCTGGTCCAAGGGTGGTCCCCCTTTTACCTACAACACATCCCAAAGACATTCTCGGTCTCAGAGTAGGTACTCCAACAAGAGAATTAGGAATATTTGCTTGGTGGATGACTGGTTCTCTCTTCTAGAACCCCAATTTTCTACTTGGCGTAATCGTTCTTGAATCGAACATCGACCCGTACTGACAGATAGGTAAATCTACTTCTTCGATGTAGAGACACCTGACCGTGGCTTTCATTACAAAGCTCTGTTTTGACAAGCATCTTTGTATCGTGGAACTCCGCTGCCCTCACCGGCACAACCCAAGCTGAGCGTGCCGTCTGGCCATCATCTGATTTCTCTTCGATTTGGTATACATATGCATATGCATTGGGTGTTGCTGAGTATACCTCAACATCCTACTGGCTGAGTAGCTAGAATGAGTATTGATAGGGGTTCCGGTTTGTCTCTCAATTTCATTGTATGACCATATCCTCCTAAGAGACTTGTTTTCCCTGGGGGGGTCGCCACCAAGCTAAACTGTCCCACCCGATCTTGGCCTTCCTGGTTGCAATGGCTTCGCCTTGCAAGATGCCGTGAACTTTATCTGCAATCAGCTGAGATCGATTAGTAGATAATGAATGCTTTTGACTCACCGTGAGCCTCTCCTGCCAGCTCTTATAGCGTCGACCCATCCTTTGTTGCCCGCTCGTGTTCCCGTGGCACCAGACAACGAAAATGCGGTCTCTTAGCATTGGTCCCTCAGGTCCAATACAAAGACCACGCAGATTATTTGTGACGAAGAAGCGCCGGAATACCATGGTTTCCCCTATGGCCTCTTTTCATCCATCATACCATGCGAACCGGCCATCATGACTTTCTTGACCAGGCCAGGTGTCAGGCCTCGCCGGTTAAGGGATAGCTTAAGGGGCATGAGGAGGGGGACCAAGCAACAAAGGAGCAGCTCAGGCATATATAGAGCGCTGGTAGTACACCTCGAGGGAGGGGCAGATTTCAGTAATTCATCTTCTAGACCCTAACAGCAGTTGGCCTCTGTGAGCTTCTTCCCTGTGTCATACACCTATTGACACCAGGCAATCCATCCTTCTCATCCTTGCTCCACCAATGAGGCATCCCATCAAAGAATGCGGACTGACTAACGAGATACGCATCATTTATGGTGTTCTTGATGCCGATATCTGATCTTAACCCACGCAGAGAAGCAACTGTTCTCACTTCATCGATGAACACAGCTCGAACATTTAATCTGTCCAGGTCATGGCTGAACCAAGCGACTGGGATTGCGCTTGAGCAGGCTGTAAAGCCATGTCCGTTGAGAACGAGAGATTCGACAGACCCGATGACGTAGAGAGAATGAATTAGGGATCGGTCAACCAGGGGCTTCGGCCGTCCCTTGAGCGGGCTATGTTCACTACGCCACTCGGACACCCCAACTCGGCAGTGAGATCGCTTCATCTTCTTTATTCAGGCTTCGTGCCGCCAACAGTATCTCGAGACTGTTCTCTTCACGGATAATGTCTCTTGCTGCTCCGCAGAACACCTGCTTCACGGATCTGTTGTAGTCCCCATGGGCCCAGCCACGAGATCTACCGGCGAGACTGAGCATCGCAAACAATCTGTCCCGAGGATCGGCCGCGTCTCTAGCCCAAATGTTCCACAGGAGATCCGATAGTCTTTCGTCCATGAGTCCCTGCTTCAAGAGGTAGAAAGCAGTGGAGTATCGATCTCTCATTACTGGTCAGTCGCTAATGCGCTCGTTCTTTCTCTCAACCGTCGTCTTCCCAAAGTCGTCCCAGGCCTCAGCAAATGGCAGCGCTTTTATCAAGGTCTTTCACTTGATCATCCGCTGCCCGCACTAGATAATTGCTCAATTGTTGGCACACCACCGAGGTGTTCGCCTTGATCATTGTATTCTCTATGCATTGCCATTCTTCTGAGAAACGTGAGTGCGCGTTCACTGCTTTCATCTCCGGCAGAAGGACCTAGCCAGAATATCACGCGTACAGCGCATTGGAAGATTTGCTTGGTCGACGCAGACTTCGTAAACCCACAGAATCTGCGTTTCGGCAGGGTCGCGAAGGGTGAACAGAAGAGATGCAATCTACGATGAGATCGGGATAACCTAAGGGCTTCCATTCATTGTGCCAGCTCGCATAATCAGGCTTTCAGAGGCACAAGATATTTCTCGTGCATAGGAAACGGCCTCAAAACTGGGTGATGACGCCAGCGAAACCTCTTGAAAAGATCATGATAGGGGATCAAATAAGTCACTTGGAAGGAGGGTAGGAAGACGAATACAAACATGTTCTAGGCTCTGTAGATAGAAGAAGACGCCATTTCATGAGTCTGAGCTACTTCAACTCGAAAGTTGACATGGTAGCATGATCTTGTCCACATTGATGAGATAACAACTCATTCTTTAGTACAAACCGGGTGAGATTCACTCGGTCAGCAGCCTTCAGATGGCTGCTCCCTGTACCGAACAGGGGTTCTTCACCAGCCCCGGCGAAGGAATCAGACTCTATTGAGAAGCTCAGCCATTGACGGGATGAAAGATGAACGTGTTCAATCTTTTGTAACACACCAGTTCGTTAGGCGCACCCAGAGCATATCATGTTATCTCGAGTACATGCACCATCATTGAGAAGCGGCTCTCAACTTTCCCCACCTCGATTCGCCTCAACGGCCCCGGTGCTAATCGCCAGCGCGGCGTCTTGCCGGAGTGAATCCGGGGTGCGGGGAAAATGGTGGTGTTGTCCAGCCGACACCAAGCTACATGAAGCGTGGCTGACTCATTCATCAGCAGTCGCATAGGATCCTCAGTCCTAAGCCGCCTCACGGCACTCATCCAAGACGGCTGGCACTCATTATTTCGATGGCCGACGGAGTTTTCGGCGAGACTATGGAGCTGCTCTCCGGGGAGCAGTCTCAATATCCCGCGGACGATCTCGGAACTGGCTATAATTCTGCCACTATGCTTTGCCGGACACGCCGGCCGGCTTGTGGTTGGGAAGTCGACGTGGCGGGGTTCTCAAGCCCTCTAGGGCTGAGATGCAGGGGTGATACATGCGAATGAACTCTTTTCATTCATTTCCTCCGATAGGGGTCTACGGAAATTCGGCGTTATTGTGAATATTGGAAAGAGTAATACTGCTGTACCATGGTTCTCTGGGAGTTCTTTCAATGCCATTAATTGAACTTGTAAGGACTCATTGAGCTTTCGCTGCGCTGAGGATGAGCCCGCCAGTTAAGCCCTTGCTTGCGATAGACGCGCATACCTAGTCGACTTGGAGCTGGATTCAGTGGGTTGAACCACCTGTTCATTCGACTCTGCCTGAGGCTGTCTACTGCAACTTCGCCCTCCCATTCTCAATCGCAGCGCGGGTCGGATGCTGGTGTCACACTAGCGACGCTCATCTCTGGCCGCTGGATGAGGTGTGGGTATGGCTTACTCATCCCGTGTCAATTCGTGAGTAAGATGTATAATTCACATTCCCATGCCAATGCTCATGAGGGTCACGATCGTGATTCTCTCTGCAAAAATCATGAATGCAGATTCTGCATTTCCACAACTCGACATGATTCTAGACTGAACGATCTGCTAATCTCATCTAATCTCACTTCATCTCACAGGCTGACCCCGTCCTACCGTTGAGATGAAGGCCCGTGCTTGTGCATGAATCCTGACTCGTCTCACCTTGAGTAGAGGCTTCTTAGAGGCCACCAGCTATTTTGGGTCTTATTACGCCGTAATCTTCCCTCCCCCTCTTGACCGAAAACGAGTACAAAGTCCACAAAACACGGTATTAGCGCAAACTCTGTCGGCACTCTCTTGCCTGCAGTGCTGGAATTGTGCACACTATGAGTTCTGTACTGCGCGTAGATAGAAGGCTAGATAGGCGCGGCGAACTCCGCAATTACATCATTCTCCAATGAGACAAAACAAACCGCCCACCCTCGGCCCGGGCGAAAACTCAACCCAAAATCATCGCAGCATTCAGAGACAAGACATCAAGAGACCATTATGTTTGACTGATTTACGGGCACGACGACATAATCGAATATTCAACAGCTGCCCGCTCGTTCGCTCAAGGGGCCGATGATTCCGTGAACGTAAACGCAAAGAACGACTGGAACCATGGCGTCCGACGAACAGAAGCCGGACGCTGACCGATACACCGAGTCGCAGTCCCCAGAGACTGAGACTCATCCGGATGGCGTCCCGGCGCGGTCACCGACGACCGCAAGTAAGGCGACAAAGAAGCCGGCGCCAAAGCCGGGTCTGGCGGCGAGATTGGGCCTCGACGCGCCGACGCTCATCATGATGTTCAAGGGCTCACTACCGCCCCTCATCGGCATCGCCATCTACCAATCCACGCCCGTGGCACAGTACTTCACCACGCTGGGCTATCTCGTGCCAATTATCTCAGTACTCGCACTCGCAATTCTCCCAAGAGGAAAATACCTCCAGAACCTCGTCCTCAATGTCACCGGAATTTGCATCGGTGGCGCCTTGTCGATGCTGGCACTGTGGTCTGGTGTCCAGGCGCGAAGGAACACCGCCTCCGCCGAGGAACTAGCCACCGGATTGCCCGTCTACAACTCAAGTCAGTCTGCCGTCTGCGGCGTCTGGCTGTTCTTCAATATTTGGATCTCGAATACCCTGAGAGCTAAATACCCTGCGATGAACCTGCCTGTCATGATCTACTCCATCTTTATGAACGTTGCCTGCACATTTGGCCCGCTCATGGTGACCACCGCAGCCGCCGAGTCGCTTGTAAAGCGGCTGACCGTGGCGATGCTTTGCGCCATGGGTATTGCTACCGGTGTCTCACTTTTCGTGTTCCCCGTCTCCAGCAGGAAGGTGGTGAGCGGTGAATTCAAGGGTGCCATTGGGCTTGTTCGCAAGTCCATTGCTCTGCAACTCAACTACTTGAAGACGTTATCCAGTCCCGACATGCTCGAGCGTCACCAGACGAAGAGCAGCAACGTCTTCAAGAAGAACAAGAAACAGAAGAAGCCCGAGATGACGAAGGAGGCGAAGGCCGCGGGCGAGCTCAAGGCCACGGCTTTGGCGATTTCGGCACTGTTTGGAAAGATGCACGGAGACATCCTCTTCGCCAAGAGGGATATCGCCTACGGCAAGCTCAACTCCAAGGATATCGGCGAGATCTTCAACCGCCTGCGAAGCATCATGATCCCATTGAACGGCATCAGCACAATTGTCGACATCTTCCGCCGAGCCTCCGAAAAGCACGGATGGGGTGTTAACGATGGCAACGGCGACTCGGACGCGGAGAAGGAACGGGAAAAGAGAGTCTGGAACGATATCATGCTCCAATTGCTGGAGCCATTCGAAATCCTGACGGAAGCAATGGACCAGGGACTCGATCACGTCGGTATCGTCCTCGAACTCACACCCAAGCCGAAGAAGACGAAGGGTGCCGACGTGGAGATGGATGCCGGTGCCAAGGCGACCTCGAAGCCAGGCGAAGCCGGGTTCGCCGAAGTCCTCGCCGAGAGGGTGCAGGACTTCAACGACAAGAAGGGAGAGCTGCTCAGAAACTGGTTGAAGGAGAGGCAGCTCGCGACAGAACAGGAACGACAGGATCTTCACCTGAAGAAGCTCGAGACCAGGATGCGGGAGCGCGACCAGACGCAGCTTTATGTGATGCTGTACATGGAAAAGCTTATGCTCGCCCTGGGCGAAGCAGTGCAGGACCTAGTCATGTTCGCAGACTCAAAGGTGGCTGACGGCACGATGGCAAAGAAGCGCTTGATCATCCCTTCTCAGAAGCGCATCAAGAAATGGTTCAAGGGTATCTGCAGCACCGAGGACGCTTCCCCCGAGCAGACGCCAGATATTGCTGAGATGGGCGCGAACATCGTCTACGCCGGTGATGGGTATAACAAGAAGAAGGATCCCGAACATCTCCCTGCTCACGGCGTCTGGCAACACTTTGGGAACTCGGTGAGAGCATTTTCTGGCTTTGTCGGATCAGGTGAATCGCTCTTTGGCTTCCGGGTCGCCATTGCGACCATGACCGTCGGCATCATGGCTTTCTTGCAGAGCACACAGACGTTCTTCACTGAGCAACGCTTGGTTTGGGCCATGATCATGATTGCCATTGGCATGACTATCACGGCCGGCCAGTCCATTTTTGGCTTCGTATGTCGAGTCGGCGGAACCTGCGTTGCGGTTATTTTCTCCTACATCATCTGGTATATCGTTGTCGAGCGCACCGCCGGAGTCATCGTCTTCCTCTGGTTGTTCATCTTCATCGAGCAGTACTTCATCTTGAAGTATCCGCGGTTTATGCCTGTGTGGCTCATCACGATTATCACTCAAGTCCTCATCATCGGGTATGAGCTACAGGTTCAGAAGATTGGAGAAAAGGCCGCCGCAGCCACGGGACAACCGTACTATCCTACATACCTTCTGGCACCTTATCGTCTTGCCTGTGTAGCGGCCGGTTGTTTCATCGCATTTATCTGGACCATTTTCCCGGCTCCGATCACCGACCGGCGCTGGCTCCGACGGGATCTCAGCGCCTCGCTCTATCTCCTCGCCAACTACTTCAGTGTCGTAACTGAGACAATCAAGGCGACGATGGAAGAGACTCACGGTGACATCAAGAAGCCCGGCACACCTGCTCACAAGATGGAGAAGGAAAGGCGTCGCATCCTAGGCAAGCTGTTACTGTTGCTCCCTAGCTTGGATCAGCATGCGCAATGGCAGAAATGGGAACCCGATATCGGCGGCAAATTCCCTAGGGCCACATACGAAGATATCATCAGACGGTCAACCAGCACCATGCGGTACCTCACGCTGATTGCTTACACCATCACATGGAAGCCGCGTGACAGGCCAGCCAGTCCCTCTTCCGACAGTGACCGGGCCTGGCTGCGCGCTCTCAATCAGGTCCTTGCAGGAATTGAGCCGACGCAACATACCATTCTCTCCACGCTCACGCTCCTGTCCAACTCACTACTGTCGGGTCAATCACTGCCGCCCTTTATGCAACTTCCGAGACCGAATGAGCTCACCCGCAAGCTCCTCCACCTCAAAGGTCCGGACCCAGAGCCGCGGACCATGCAAAGAAGAGGCAGTGAGCTCGAGCACAGGCTTGTCACGGTCCACACCCGCACAGGGTCTGAAGTGCGCCCTTCAGGTCGGAAGCCCAGCGTGGTGGGATCAGTGGTGGAGTCGCCGACGAGTGACACTTCAACGATTGGGGGTATGGCCGAGTTATCGGAGATGGTCAGCCCTCTTGGCAGCGGAAGTATTCTCGACGTAAGGAACGTAGAGCAACACGGATATACCGAGTTCGCGGTGCTGCAGGTTTGCAGCTCGCTTGTGTGCGATGACTTGGAGGGCTTGGTGCGGTCTGTGAGCAGTTTGGTTGGTGTTGTGGACTTTAGCTTCAGGATCAATCCAAGTGAGGCAACGCTGACGAGCAGTGATGAGGACGATGCTAGAGGAAAAGGCAAGCGAGATTAACATAATACCCACGACCTAGGTTGAAACTACGGAGATATACCAAAAGGCGAATTGAAACAGATATAATAAGAGTTATTACCATGAGCATTCAAATGGATCTGATGAATTTCTCACACACTAGGCTATGAATCAAGGCCGCTTGGGCAAAGCGAGGGAGGGTACTTGGAGTGTAAGTGTGATATTACTAGCACTAGCTTAATGACCATTCAATAACTTGGAACCGGTCATGTTTATGAAGTTTACAAAGAAAAAAGCTGTTGCCAGGTCGAAATCTTATGCCCACGATCCTGCCAACGATCACCATGTCAGGTCTCAACGCAGATGACGCCGCTGCCGCTACTATTCACCCGATGACCCGACTTGCGAGTGGTACTCGTCGTAATAGTCTTGGTTCCAGATCGCGAGTTCATCTCATGCATCTGCGCACTCATCCTCTCCTCCAACCTCTCCATCGCCCTGCACTTCTCCTCGAATCTTACCACAGCCTCGTCACGCTCACGATCCGCTGTGTTGCGCGCAGTAATGGCTGTCTCCTTCTGCTCCCGCGCCTCGCGGAGCATGGTGCGCATGGCCGA